GACAAAATTCTCACCCCAAAGTTTCTTTGGGGTGACTTTTGGGTTAGCTTAGGGCTAGATTCGCGTCAAGGTCAGGTTTGGGTAAGCAACATTTTGGGGATGATATCGAAGGCATGATGCACGCACCGAATTCCGGGATGAGGTGGTCGAAAGCCGCGGTAGTGGCGAAGTATTTGCCGTTGTACTTGTGGTCCTTGAGCGCTTCGTTCGCCCTTTTCATCTCGTCCTTCGTCGGCCGAGGAGCAGCGCGAGCAGCACGCAGATGACGAGGCAAGAAGGGCTCCACAAAACCTGACAGTTTTTGTGACAGGCCATGATTGGGCGGTGAGGAACAAGGATTGCACTAACGACGATGCCAACTCATGCTAACGATAAGGGAGATTGCCACTGCACCGTGCTGACGAGATCATGCCAACTCATGGAATTTATAAGCGGGGAATTGACTCAGAGGAAAGAGTGCCGTGGCGACCAAAATGGGCGGGAAGATGTTTGTGGCCAAACTGAGAATCCGCGAGGATTCACGAAGATACGCGCTTCCAGGTATTCGCCGCGACACGGAAGACGCGCCTGAAATTTTGCTGGGGGTGTCAGAATATTATTCTTATGTTCTAGCCTGTAGTGGGGTGCTCTATAGCAAGTACAACCCTTCTAGGGTTTGCTATTTGTATCCCCATTTCGGCTAGTTCATCCCTCTTTCTTTCTTTAAACTTTGTCATGCTATCAGAGCAGGTCGATCCCCCTGGATCGATCCTGTGGGTGGGCTTACCACCGCTTAGCTTCCGCTGCTACTACTGCTACTACTCTCTAAGCCGCACGCCCCGTGGCGTGCGGCATTTTTTCATCCCGCCGTGCGCCCCGAGGCGCGCGGCGGTTTTCTGCCCGCCGTGCACCCCGAGGCGCGCGGCGGTTCATTGCCCGCTGTGCGCCCCGGGGCGCGCGGCGGGCTTCTCCCCTACGTCGCGGCCCCGCCCCGATCGTCGCGGCCCCGCCCCTCAACGCGGCCCCGCTCTACGTCGCGGCCCCGCCCCGGCCCGTCGCCGCCCGTGCGCCTGCCCGGCTCGGCCCCGCCCTTCGTCGCGGCCCCGCCCCGGCCCGTCGCCGCCCGTGCGCCTGCCCGGCTCGGCCCCGCCCTACCTTTGCGGCCCCGCCCTATGTTGCGGCCCCGCCCTATGTCGCGGCCCCGCCCTACGTCGCGGCCCCGCCCTATGTCGCGGCCCCGCCCCGACCGTCGCGGCCCCGCCCCTCGTCGCGGCACCCCCCCCCCCCCCCCCCCCTTTTCTCCCCTCCCCCCCATTTCCCGTCGCCCGTCGCGGCTCCTTCGGGGGCCGCGCGAGCTGTGGGGTGGCGGGTATGGGGGTGCTCGGTGTGCCTTCCTCCCTTTGCTCCTCCTCCTCCTCCGTCTCCCACTGCTGCAGCTGTCGCTGAGGGGGGTGGTTGTGTGGGAGACTCGGGTTTAGGGTTTAAGGGGGGTGCGTGGGAGTAGAGCTAGCGGTGTAGCAGTGGGTGTGTATCAGGGGGGTGGGACTGTGTGCGAGAGGTTGAGTGGAGGTTGTCAGTTTGTCGTTCGCAGCACCTGTAGTCCGGGGCGCTGTCCCGGTAGCCCAGTCGTAGCCAGCTTTGCCAGCCGCCCGTGGGTCCGTTGCCCGTCCGCCGCTATTTGAGCCGCGGGGCCTGTTACTCCTGTAGTCCGGGCGCTGTCCGGTAGCCGCTGTGCCAGTCTGCCTCCTGTTGCCCGTGTGTCTGCAGCTTCAGCCGTCGCCTCCTGTCTCCTCTCCCCTCACTCTCCCTCCTCCTCCTCACTTGCCCGTTGTGACTACCACTAGCTTTGCTTATAATTGTGAACTCTAAACTATTTCTTCTTGAACTTGTGCTCAGAATGTGTGGTGACATTGTGATCCACCCTGAGCTTGTTTTGCTTTGCCTGCTCTCCTGATTACACCCCACTTTGGCTATGGGGGTGTGTCAGAATATTATCTTATGTTCTAGCCTGTAGTGGGGTGCTCTATAGCGAGTACAACCCTTCTAGGGTTTTGCTATTTGTATCCTCATTCCTGCTAGTTCAATCCTCTTTCTTTCTTCTAACTTTTGACAACTGCGACCCGTGTTGCCCGTGCCGCCACTCCTGCTTGGAGGCATTGCACAGGCGCACCTGGGAGCAGGGAGGGCAGAAAGAAGAGGGGTGTGTGGTGAGTCGTGATTTTTTGCCAACTCTTCAACCGGTTGGATAAGTACAGGCTCAAGGGGTGATGGGTGCAAAATGGGGTGGTAAGGGGAGTGTCAGGTGTGGAAGGGGGGGCCGAGTGGAGCAGATGGGGGCTAGAGGGGTGGCGTGTTTGGAAGACATGCACGGAGGGGAGAAGGCCGGCCAGCAGTGCCGGCTGCCGTAGTGCCACTGATGCTTGGAGGCATTGCACGGGCGCACCTGGGAGAAGGAGGGCGGAGAGACGAAGGGTGTTTGCGAGTTTCTGTCCACTCTTCAACTCGTGGTTCGAGTCGAGGACCGGCTCGAGGGGAGGTGGGTGCTGAAGGGGGATTGAAACGGGGGAGCGCAACCAAGTGCACAACAGATCGTGTAGTAAAGGCGGGTCGAAGGGGTGGCGTGTGTGATGGACGCGCACAGGTTGGGGAGGGGGGCCAGGGCGGCCCGCACTGCTGGTTACCACCCGTGCTGCCCATCCCGCCACTGCTGCTTGAGTTTTGAGTCGACTCAAAACTCGACTCACTACAGGTCGGCCCGCATTGCTGGTTACCACCCGTGCTGCCCATGCCGCCACTGCTGCTTGAGTTTTGAGTCGACTCAAAACTCGACTCACTACAGGTCGGCCCGCATTGCTGGTTACCAACCTTGCAGCGCAGCTGGGAGCACGGAGGGCGGAGAGAAGGGGCAGGTGTGGTGAGCTGTAGATTTATGTCAGCTCGAAAGTTAAGGTGGGGCCTGAGTAGAGCTGCCTCCCTGTCTGTCTTGCTGCTGCTGGTGCCGTTGCTTGTGATGGTGTGATGAATCAAGCCGCAGCACTTGAAGATGCAACGGAGAATCTAAGACGCAGCACCTCCACAAGCATTAGAATACCTGAACTTGTAACCAAGCACATGAACAGCACATGTCTGGAGCGAGCATGCAATGTAACATTTAAACAACACATGAGGTGACATGAAACCATGCACCAATGCACACATAGTGCACCTGAATTACACAACACAGCATCCAAAAGAAACGCATCAAAGCAGCAATAATTCAAGTATGCTGGTGGGTGAGATGAGCTCTAATGCACACCAGGTCAGATCAAGATTAGGCATGTAGGGTGGCGAATTGCCGCTCGCCTTGCACCCCGCACTCTGCCCTGTGCCCCCCATGGGCCCCCATTGCCTTCATGTCCCTCGCAATGCTCCCCTATGTCCCCCTCTATCTTCCCGTGCTTCCACCCCCCATCCTCTCACCTTGTGCCCATCACCACCCACATGCACCACAGAGCAATACCTACCCCCACACCATCATAGGGTACTTGCTCATCAGCCTCTGCACGCCTTCCCATGCTCCCACCACGCCACACATCCTCTCACCTTGTGCCCAGCACCACCCACGTGCACCACCAAGCAGTACCCCCACACCATCATAGGGTAGCTGCTCATCAGCCTCTCCATGCTTTCCCTCAGCTCCTCCCACTCACTCAATCCCTCCTCTGCCACCTCCATCACACTCCCCTCCCCGTCCGCCCCTCTTTTCCTTTCCTCTCTTCCCTCTTCTTCCCTCCTTCTCCTCTCCCTTACGTATCTCCTTCCTATCCTTCTCTGTATCACTTCTCCTCTCCACTAATCTCTCAATCCTGTCCCCATCGCCCTCCTTCTCTACCTCCTCCTCCTCCTCCTCCTCCTCCTCCTACTCCTCCTCCTCCTCCTCCACCTCCTCATCATCATCATCATCATCATCCTCCTCCTCCTCCTCCTCCTCCTCTTCCTCCTCCTCCTCCTCCTCCTCCTCCTCCTCTTCCTCCTCCTTCCCTCTCCCACCCCTCCTCCCCTCGCCTCAATTTACCCTTAGATCCCTCATCCCATGCCACCTCCACCCCCTCTGCTTCCATCTCAGCTATCTCTAGAATCGCCTTCACCACACCCCCCTCGACTTTCTTATGAACTCCCCTGCTAAACATTTGAGGCGCCTCAGAAGTCGTCCCCACTGCCTAAATCTCAGCTATCTCCATACTCGACTTCACCACATCCCTCTCGTCCTTCTTATAAGTTCCCGTGCTATACACTCCCGATGTCGATTCGCTCTCCAAGCCTCTACCCAGGCCCAGCCGGTGCCGAGCCTGGTGATGTGCACAGGTTCGGTTCGCCGCACGGTGTGAAGGCTCGGTAGGTCCACACCTGCTTGAGGGGAGGGGAAGTGGAAAAGAGAGTGGGGCAGAGCGGGTGGATGGTGAGGAGGACGGGGGATGGGTCGGGCCGACCCGGCTACCAGGCCCCGGGTCATGCATTGATGGTGTGCAGCACAACACGCAAACTTGTCGAGTGGTGGATGGTGGTGGATGGTGGTGGTGGATGGTGGTGGATGATGGTGGTGGATGTGGTGGTGGATGGTGGTGGATGGTGGTGGATGATGGTGGTGGATGATGGTGGTGGATGGTGGTGGATGATGGTGGTGGATGATGGTGGTGGATGGTGGTGGATGATGGTGGTGGATGGTGGTGGACGATTCGCACATGAACTTCGAACCTTGTGCTAATATGAATGACATCAGCACACGAACTGAAGGCAGAGAGCTGCACTTGTTCATGCAAGGTGCCCCACCAGTGCGTGGGGAAGGGTGTAGGAAGGAAGAGATGGTCGTGTGGAAATGTGCGAAGATGGAGGGCCCTGCCAGTGAGAGACCCACCCCTGCCCAGCCCGCAAGGAGCCGGAGAGGGGTGGGATGACTTACAGATCACCTGAAAATCCACCTGAACTTGATGGAAGGCCAAAAACCAAAGTGAATCTGAAAATGGTTGAACCTGAAGAATAACCTAAGCGTGGATCCTCGCCACATTGAGTCTCGCCTCGTTCGGCACGCTGGGTCGTAGACGACCGGGCAGGTGAAAAGTTCCGATGGCTGGGAGGATGTCAGAGGGCGTGGCAGGAGCGCATTCATGGCTGCCCAGACTACGTGAGCGGTTGTGCAGCTTTGGACTGTAGCAGTTGTGGATGGCATGCGGTGGCGGGCGATGGAAGCCTGTGGGCACATCTTGGGATGGAGGAGGGGAGAACCAAGAGAGAGAACAAAGGAAAGAAGGTGAGTGGGGGGCGTGGTGGTAGTGGGATGGTGAGAGTGGTTTCTAAATGCCATACAGCCATAGAGCGTGTGTGTCGTGGAGAGCAGTGGAGACCTGTGACCATAGCTTGGGGGGATGGGGGGGGGTGGGGGGAGGGGTAAGTTGAGGGTATGGGATCTGAGAGAGGCTGGGGATGATGGAGGGAGAGGCAACACCATATTGGTCCCCGCAGAAAGCGGTTAGACTAGTTAGTGAAGGCCTTGCAGGTGCTTTTTGAGAATTCTCAAAGACCGGTCTGTGGAGGCCTTGCAGGTATGGATTGCGTAGGGGTGGCAAGCAATAGAGATATCTAGACAAGCCTCGGGGGATGGGAGAGAGAGGGAAACGGGAGACGAGGCAAGAATGCTCATGTGTGGGAAAGGAGGGGGGTTTTGGAAGGAATGGTTGCAGATGGTGTTGGGAGGGCGGGCGATGGAGTGCCCCCGAGCACAGAGTAGCGCGCTTGGGGTGATGGTGGAGACGGGGGAGGCTGGAGATGGGGGAGCAAAGAGCAGAGCACAGAGTGAGAGCAGAGAGCAGGGAGCAGAGCGCAGAGTGAGAGGAGAGAGCAGAGAGCATTGAGCGAAAATCAGAAAGAGGAGAACGGCGAGCAGAGAGCAGAGAGAAGAGAGCAGAGAGGGGAGAGGGGAGAGCAGAAAGCGGAGAGCAGAGAGCAGAGAGCAAAGAGCGGCTACCAGAGGAGAGCGGAGAGCAGAGAGTAGGAACCAGCAACAATAGCGGACCTCTAGGCACGCCGCCCTACATGCATGCATGGATGTACGGGCACGGCGTGCAGCAGCATAGGAACGGCCTCTGTGACAACGGGACGACAACAGCAGCAGCAATGGCTCTACCCGCAAGCTCCATGCGCCCATACCTGAACGCATGCGCCGCACGGCCTCTAGCAACCTTTGGTTATTCGCTTGCAGGGAAAGTAAGAGCGCGAAAGTGCGGTGCGCCAAGCGCACCAGGCGCGGGACCAGAATCCCATTCCCCGGCGTGCCAGGGGGGACAGCGGAAGCCTTTTTTCCGCCATTTTCCACCTGCGCGCCGTGTCGCTCTTCATCCGCTCCATAGCGCGCCCAAACCTCCGCCTCTTCTGCGCCAGCGTTTCCTTTCCCCCAGTGCCCACACCGCTTCCGCCTTCACGTTTACCTCGTCTTCCCCCCATCTCCACCCCACCCACGCGCACGCGCAAGGCTTCCGCTTTAGACCCCCTTAAGCCTCCCCTTGCGCGTCTCTCCTTCCGTAGCCCCACTCATTCCGCGATTCCTACGATTCCTCTGGTAAATTCTGCGTCCCCCTCAAATCCCAACTTTTCGCATCCTGACCTCTCCCCGCCCTTGCTCCACGCTTCTCCCCTTCCCCCTGCTGCACGGACCTAGGTCCGCGGCTACCGCCCGCCCCGCTTTCTGCTGATACCGCACCGCGCTCAACCCTCCTGCTAGCAACTGTGGTATTGTAACGCATCACCTACCTACCCTAGTGACTATCCTAGCCAAGGCTCTCTAAAGCGCTACCTACGCAAGGTAGCGACTTACGGAAAGGTTTGGAAGGGATGATTATTGATTGGTCCACAATTGTGAATCACCACCCACTAAAAGACAAACAATGTTGGGAACCAACCCAACCTTCACATTGGTGGAAATTCAAACCAATAACATTTCAACGTTGCTGTTACAAGTTACAACAGGTAACCAGACAATTCTTATCACAAATAATTTGCTCTCATTGGTTGCAAATCCAACCAACATGCCACCTAAGCAAACTCACCTTAAAGAGCTCCTTGCCCTTGTTGCCATGGAGGAGGTGGAGCTCCCCAAGGGGTATTGAGGAAGGGGTTTGGAGCTCCAAGGCTCATTCTCCCATTCCCAACTCCAATTGATCAATTTTGGAAATGGGGTTTTCTTTCGAAGTACAAGGTTTCTCCCTCACAAGTGCTCTAGCCTTCAACTACTCTTTTGGTGAAACTACTCCATCACTCTCAGAGCTTCAACTACCAAGCCTTCAAGGCCCAAGGCTAGCTTAGGGTCTAGTTTATCTTGTATGCACTTGTTGTTGGCGTTTTATAAGCCTACTATAGACCCTTTTGTGGGCATTGGCTATAATCCCGGGTCATTATTGTGATTTTAAGGGCGTTTCTCTATAAGCCCGTGTTGCATTTGGTATCAGAGCTTTGGTTATCCTTGGCCCTGTGTAACTAACTAGATTTTTTTTTAGGAGTCTCTAGATCTTAGATCTAGAATAGTCTCAAGCTCTTTTTTAAGAAGAGTTGAGAAAATCCCAAGATCAAGAAATCTTCTTCAAGGATTTCCAAGATTAAAAAGATCCTTGAGTTTCAAGAGAATTTATTCTCTGCCCACCTTCTTGGTGGAAGACTCATTGCTATTTTCATAATAGCAGAGTGTTACAGATCCAAGAGATTTGTTAAAAAGATTCCTCTTAATTTGCTCTTTGAGCAATTTTTTGGAACTCTCTCTATTTCCTTTTTGGAATATAAGATCTATTTAACAACTCTTATTCCGTAATCTTCTCTTGGTGAAAATATTGATCAATCTAAAAGATTTCTGTTTTTTTTCAGAATCTCTTGCCTATCACTTTGAGTGATAGAGGACCCTTATTAAGATAATATTTCTTAACAAAGAAGAAAGACTCTTCTTAAGCTCCATCTTAACAACTCCTCTATGGCTAGTCCTCATGAGGAAGCAAGGAAAGAGGATGTCCCTATGACCTAAGTTGATGAAGTGGAAGATTTTCCTGACCTTGACCTTAATGCTGATGACGTCATAGGGGACCTTCCGGTAGAAGAGGAAGAAGCACTGGGAAACCAGGAGGAGAATGGAGAGCAGGAAGGGCTTGATGATCTCGGCACGCATGATAACTTTACGGAGGAGTTTGAAAAACTTCAAACCACGGTGGCCGAGCAAGCATCTTCCTTGCTGCAGCAGAAACGCAGAGTCAATGAGCTTGAGGCTCAAGTTGCTGAGCAGAAAGTTTCAATTGAAACGATCCAAGCTCAGCTTACCAAAGTCACTACCAAGGCTCGTTAGTTTAAGAGGTCTCTTGGCCTCAAGAAAAATCAGATCAAGAGCCTTGAAGACACCCTGCAGCAGCTAAATGCTACGTGCATCAGTCTTGAATCGACCTGCACGACGCTGGAAGCGCAGTATAGGGAGCTCAGGAGGGGACCGATATATCGCCCCCCTCCTAACAATTGGTGGCCTTCTACTTCTGCCGGAGCTCCAACAGAGCAGCCGATGTCGCCTGACGCATCCGCATTTGGATCGCTCCCCACTGCCTTGCCGATTTTCATTCATGGCAAGACGAACGTGGAATCTTGGTTTCATCATGTGGAGGAAATGCTTTCCATCCACAGCGTGCGCCCTGGCGCACGCGTTATTGCTGCTACTGGTGCTCTCGATGAGACTGCGCGTAACACAGTCTACAGCACTATGAAGCTTGCTAAGGCAACGTCGGCCACATTCGGATGGTCCGATTTCTGCAGCGCGTGTCAAAAGTTAGAAGAAGAAAGAGGATTGAACTAGCAGAAATGGGGATACAAATAGCAAACCCTAGAAGGGTTGTACTCGCTATAGAGCACCCCACTACAGGCTAGAACATAAGAATAACATTCTGACACACCCCCATAGCCAAAGTGGGGTGTAATCAGCAGAGCAAGCAAAGCAGTACAAGCTCAGGGTGGATCACAATGTCACCACACATTCTGAGCACAAGTTCAAGAAGTAAGTTCAAGTGCACAATTATGAGCAAAGCTAGTGGTGGTCACAACGGGCAAGTGAGGAGGAGGAGTGAGAGCGAGAGGAGTTGGGAGGCGACGGCTGAAGCTGCAGACACTCGGGCAACAGGAGGCACACTGGCACAGCGGCTACCGGGCGAAGCCCCCGGAATACTGGAGTAACTGGCCCCGCGGCTAAAGTAGCGGCAGACGAGCAACGGACCCACGGGCGGCTGGCACAGCTGGCTACGACTGGGCTACCGGGCGAAGCCCCCGGAATACAGGTGCTGCTGACGACACGACGGCAACCTCCATGCAGCTTCCCTAACTATCCAACTCCCCCAACACACACCCGCTGATACGCTCCTAGCTCCACTCCCACGCACCCCCCTTAAACCCTAAACCCGAGTCTCCCACACAACCACCCCCCTCAGCGACAGCTGCAGCAGTGGGAGACGAAGGAGGAGGAGAAGGGGACGGCACGCACAACCGACACCCCCACAACCATCACCCCCATACCCGTCACCCCCATACCCTGAGTGTGCGGTAAGCGAGCTCAGGTGTGCGTGAAGCGTGCACAAGCTTACGGGAAGCGAACTCGGATGTGCGGTAATCGAACTCAGGTGTGCGGGGAGGGGGGCCGCAGGGTGACGCGCGGGTCGACGGGGACGGGTGCACGGGTCCCCAGGGGCGGCGCGCGGGTCGACGGGGCCGCCACGAAGGGCGACCGGAAGCCGCGCGCGGGTTGACGGGGCCGCCGCGAAGGGCGACGAGGAGCCGCACGCAGGTCGACGGGGACGGGCGTGCGGGTCGACGGAACGCGAAACCGCCGCGTGCGCCCAAGGTGCGCGGTGGGCAGAAAACCGCCACGCGTCCCGAGCGCATGGCGTGCAGAATACCGCCGCGCAAAGCAGGTAACCGTCGCGCGCCTCGAGGCGCACGGTGGGCAGAAAACCGCCGCACGCCCCGAGCGCGCGGTGGGCAGAAAACCGCCGCGCGCCTCGGGGCGCACGGCGGGCAGAAAACCGCCGTGCACCTCGGGGCGCAGGGCGGGAAGAAAAAATGCCGCACGCCACGGGGCGTGCGGCACAGAGAGTAGCAGTAGCAGTTGCAGCGGAAGCAACGAGGTGGTGAGCCCACCCAGAGGATCGATCCAAGGGGATCGACCTGCTCTGATAGCATGTCAAAAGTTAGAAGAAGAAAGAGGATTGAACTAGCAGAAATGGGGATACAAATAGCAAACCCTAGAAGGGTTGTACTCGCTATAGAGCACCCCACTACAGGCTAGAACATAAGAATAACATTCTGACATTCTGCCCGCCGTGCGCCCCGAGGCGCGCGGCGGTTCTTTGCCCGCTGTGCGCCCCGAGGCGCGCGGCGGGCGTCTGCCCTACCTTCGCGGGCGTCCGCCTTACGTCGCGGCCCCGCCCTACGTCGCGGCCCCGCCCTGCGTCGCGGCCCCGCCCCTCAAAGCGGCCCTGCCCTACGTCGCGGCCCCGCCCCGACCGTCGCGGCCCCGCCCTACGTCGCGGCCCCGCCCTGTGTCGCGGCCCCGCCCCTCGAAGCGGCCCTGCCCGACCGTCGCGGCCCCGCCCCTCGTCGCGGCCCCGCCCCTCGTCGCGGCCCCGCCCCTTGTCGCGGCCCCGCCCTCCAACCAGGCCCGTGGTGGGCCCCTTTCACCACACCGCCTACCCCCCCCCCCCCCCCCCCCCCCCTCCCCCTGCCATTTCCCGTCGTCCGTCGAGGCGACCTGAGGGGGCCGCTTGCGGTGGGGTGGCGGGTATGGGGGTGCTCGGTGTGCCTTCCTCCCTTTGCTCCTCCTCCTCCTTCGTCTCCCACTGCTGCAGCTGTCGCTGAGGGGGGTGGATGTGTGGGAGACTGGGTTTAGGGTTTAAGGGGGGTGTGTGGGAGTAGAGCTAGCGGTGTAGCAGTGGGTGTGTATCAGGGGGGTGGGACTGTGTGCGGGAGGATGAGCGGAGGTTGCCAGTTTGTCGTCAGCAGCACCTGTAGTCCGGGGCGCTGTCCCGGTAGCCCAGTGAGCTAGACTTCTACGCCAGCCGCCTGTGGGTCCGTTGCCCGTCCGCCGCTATTTGAGCCGCGGGGCCTGTTACTCCTGTAGTCCGGGCGTTGTCCGGTAGCCGCTGTGCCAGTCTGCCTCCTGTTGCCCGTGTGTCTGCAGCTTCAGTCGTCGCCTCCTATCTCCTCTCCCCTCACTCTCTCTCCTCCTCCTCACTTGCCCGTTGTGACTTCCACTAGCTCTGCTCATAATTGTGAACTCTAAACTATCTCTTCTTGAACTTGTGCTCAGAATGTGTGGTGACATTGTGATCCACCCTGAGCTTGTACTGCTTTGCCTGCTCTGCTGATTACACCCCACTTTGGCTATGGGGGTGTGTCAGAATATTATCTTATTGTTCTAGCCTGTAGTGGGGTGCTCTATAGCGAGTACAACCCTTCTAGGGTTTGCTATTTGTATCCTCATTCTTGCTAGTTCAATCCTCTTTCTTCTTCTAACTTTTGTCATCATCGCGCTGTCAGAATGTTATTCTTATGTTCTAGCCTGTAGTGGGGTGCTCTATAGCGAGTACAACCCTTCTAGGGTTTGCTATTTGTATCCCCATTTCTGCTAGTTCAATCCTCTTTCTTCTTCTAACTTTGGCATGCTATCAGAGCAGGTCGATCCCCTTGGATCGATCCTCTGGGTGGGCTCACCACCTCGTTGCTTCCGCTGCAA